CTACGTACCGCTCTTTAATTTGACCTTGCCCGCTGTTGCTTTGCCCTCGTTTCACGCGAGGACTCGATCGCGTAGTGGCCCCTTGAACACAAAAGCACAAAACATCATCTGATGCATCGTCTTTGAAACGGATTGCATGTTCACCGCAAGTATATGTGGTTAATGCAGACATGATTCCTTGCAAAGAGCTTTCTGTTTAGTGTTTTAACATCTTAACGCAACTGTTTTATTGCCATAAAAGGTCAAATCTAGTCTTATATTTCAACATACTTGTCAACCCCCTTAGTGCCCTCGCTTATTACAGACCAACTCAGACCTTATTGGTCAACCCGTGCGCTTATAAATCTCAACGTTCATCCTACAAAGTCCCATCACAAGGGAGAAACACAAACAAATAGACAAAACACAATTTTTGTTGCCCGTATTCAAACGGCTGTACGCCGTATGGACCTGAAAACTCAATTTCCCTGGACAAGAATAGTGGGTAATCAGCATGGGTTTGACAGATATGATTGTATAACTGCTTGATTTCTGAGGAATGCAAAACTAATTGCGTCAATCTAATCCGAGGTTGCAATCATTAATGCATCGAGATTCGTTTCCGTGTGAATCACGCGAACTTTCACGCGCTCTGCCGGACATCTGTGAATAAAAAAAAAGATAAAAGAGCTTCGTAGCTCTTCGGATTTGTTTCCAGGATAAATAAAGATTCGGAAATAAAATGTTGTGATATTTGTTTGCTTTAAAGGTACTCAACGCAATGTTAACAATATCGCCACGTGGTGGTGAATACGAGACGATACACACAGTGCACGTACATATTTGTCTCTCCATGTCAAACCAAAACCCCATCAAGCCACTTGGCCCCCGTGTGTGTTTGTTGAACTTCTTTCGCACCGTGCGTAGCCAACCGCGCTAATCGGAGGCGCGGGGGAAAGACAACACTACACTAAACACACAAAAATAGTTCTAAAAGAAATGAATACATATCATCAGCAGCATTGTTGGTTCTAAACAAGCAAAACTCTGCGCCCGTTTCAACATTCAGTGTCTCATCAGCAGAGTCAGGGCTTACTTGAACCACTAGTTCAATACAAGTTGAAGCTGGGTCGGTTTCAACATTCAGTGTCTCATCAGCAGAGTCAGGGCTTACTTGAACCACTAGTTCAATACACGTTGAAGCTGGGTCGGTTTCAACATTCAGTGTCTCATCAGCAGAGTCAGGGCTTACTTGAACCACTAGTTCAATACAAGTTGAAGCTGGGTCGGTTTCAACATTCAGTGTCTCATCAGCAGAGTCAGGGCTTACTTGAACCACTAGTTCAATACACGTTGAAGCTGGGTCGGTTTCAACATTCAGTGTCTCATCAGCAGAGTCAGGGCTTACTTGAACCACTAGTTAAATACAAGTTGAAGGTGGGTCGGTTTCAACATTCAGTGTCTCATCAGCAGAGTCAGGGCTTACTTGAACCACTAGTTCAATACAAGTTGAAGCTGGGTCGGTTTCAACATTCAGTGTCTCATCAGCAGAGTCAGGGCTTACTTGAACCACTAGTTAAATACAAGTTGAAGGTGGGTCGGTTTCAACATTCAGTGTCTCATCAGCAGAGTCAGGGCTTACTTGAACCACTAGTTCAATACAAATTGAAGCTGGGTCGGTTTCAACATTCAGTGTCTCATCAGCAGAGTCAGGGCTTACTTGAACCACTAGTTCAATACAAGTTGAAGGTGGGTCGGTTTCAACATTCAGTGTCTCATCAGCAGTCAGGTTTGAGTCAGGTAGCGAGATGTTATCTCCCTCGCCAGGTATGCAGGAGGTCGTAGGTTCGATTCCAGATCATGATGATTCCTGTAGCTCAGTGGGCTTTACCTGGTAACAGTAAAAGAGTTGACTTTAGGATGAAGACCTCCCCAAACCTTCCCCATATCTCACGCTCCTGCAATTTTAACAATCCACAAAGCACCTGCAGATGAACTCACGTCATAACTCCATCTCATCTGATGTGTTCTGTCTTCCCGTGGCTACCTGCTGCGGTGCGTAAACATCGCCACTGGGGAGATAAAGATGGCCCGGCCTGGTGCTGGCCACCTACCCCCTCGTGTGACGTGCCGGCCTTCATAGGTGCTGCTCGCTAACTCGACCCAAACAGTCTCTTACGGCGAGAACGAGGGATGTGGTTTAATATATTTAATCGTCGTGACTTGCACTATTAAAAGGTTCCGCCAGGTGGGGATATAAGTCTAAACGTATGATGTAAATTGTCGCGCATGTGCACTCAACGATGAAATTAGACCCCTTACACACATCCCATAACATGCACATCGTCATTGCGTGACATAATCGATGGTTGACTTATTAACGCGCGTCTTATGCAGTGCATACAACACGCGAGAGTTGACCATCGGGCATAACGGAAGGAACGAGACGAAGAGAGAGCGAGAGTGAGATGCAGACAATAGGCAGCGAGACGGACAATAGGCAGCGAGAGGGACAATAGACAGCGAGAGGGACAATAGGCAGCGAGAGGGACAATAGACAGCGAGACGGACAATAGGCAGCGAGAGGGACAATAGACAGTGAGAGGGACAATAGACAGCGAGAGGGACAATAGAAAGTGAGAGGGACAATAGACAGCGAGAGGGACAATAGACAGCGAGACGGACAATAGAAAGCGAGAGGGACAATAGACAGCAGGGGGACAATAGACAGCAAGACGGACAATAGACAGCGAGAGGGACAATAGACAGGGAGAGGGATAATAGACAGCGAGAGGGACAATAGACAGCGAGAGGGACAATAGACAGGGAGAGGGACAATAGACAGCGAGAGGGACAATAGACAGCGAGACGGACAATAGGCAGCGAGAGGGACAATAGACAGGGAGAGGGACAATAGACAGCGAGAGGGACAATAGACAGCGAGACGGACAATAGACAGCGAGACGGACAATTGGCAGTGAGAGGGACAATAGACAGCGAGACGGACAATAGACAGTGAGAGGGACAATAGACAGCGAGACGGACAATAGACAGTGAGAGGGACAATAGACAGCGAGAGGGACAATAGAAAGCGAGAGGGACAATAGACAGCAAGACGGACAATAGACAGCGAGAGGGACAATAGACAGCAAGACGGACAATAGAAAGCGAGAGGGTCAATAGACAGCGAGACGGACAATAGACAGCGAGAGGGACAATAGAAAGCGAGAGGGAAAATAGACAGCGAGGCGGACAATAGACAGCGAGAGGGACAATAGAAAGCGAGAGGGACAATAGACAGCGAGGCGGACAATAGACAGCGAGGCGGACAATAGAAAGCGAGAGGGACAATAGACAGCGAGAGGGACAATAGACAGCGAGACGGACAATAGAAAGCGAGAGGGACAATAGACAGCGAGACGGACAATAGACAGCGAGAGGGACAATAGACAGCGAGAGGGACAATAGACAGCGAGACGGACAATAGACAGCGGAGGAACAATAGACAGCGAGAGGGACAATAGACAGCGAGAGGGACAATAGACAGCGAGACGGACAATAGACAGCGGAGGAACAATAGACATTGAGAGGGACAATAGACAGCGAGACGGACAATAGACAGCGGAGGAACAATACAAACGAGACAGACTTTTAATGACAAACAAAAAAACGAGGCAGAACAATAATCAATATTGAACATACGGCATAGAACCCGGGGGTGGGTAACCACAAACTAACGAGCAGAGATTTGTTTTCGTATTTGGTAAAAAAAAAACCCTCAATATTTCAAGAGCCGCAATTGCCATGTGAATAACATGGCAATTGCCATGTGAATAACATACATACACCATACACTACGTCGCGATGCAGTCCGTAAAGAGCCGCATGCTGGCTCTGGAGCCCGCAGTCAGCCGAGCCCCCGGCGTGGACGACCCAAAAACAAGCAGAGGCAAAACCACCGATTCAATAATCATAACAATCACCATAGATTATTTAATTGCATCGATGAATTGATTGGCTGGGTTGCTGGATCATTAGCTAACCCCCCCCCCCCCGCCTCGCTGCAGTGTCCACACAGTCCCGCTAAATGCACGCCACGTGCCATTAATGCCCTTCAATTACCGATACAACATGCGCGCGCACACGTGCCTTGCATCTCAATGGGTCCCCTCACGTAACCCCTTGTCCCACCCACCCCGAGACTGGGGATCGCTGGAGACGCGTGGCCTCCCTGGTTGATGATCCCTGGGGGGCAGAAGAGATCGGAAGCCAACCACCGCCCACCAATGTGTGTGTGTCGCATTCCGAGGCAATTCCTCTGGTTGACTCTGTATGTAGGTATGTTGAACTTTTATCGTTCCATATTCTTAGCTCTTTCGGTAAAGTCACGTTGAAGGGAAACAATAAATTAATAAAATATATATAAAACAATACAAATTCTCACGACGTTTCGACCATAACACAAACGGTCGTCATCAGGTGTGAAAAAACCAACGGCAAGAAACATTTGAAATAAGTGGCGGTTTGCATTTATTTATTTTTAAACGGTGTATTTATTTATAAAAAAAAACGTCAGCGCCACGGGCAGCGATTTGGCAGTTTGTTTAGAAGGACGAGTCCATCTATGTTCTGAAAAGAGGAGGGGGGAGACGAAAAATGTATGTATGCTGTCTGAAAGCCACCGTAAGCGTGAACAACCAATTAAGACCTGAAATTGTTTATCAAATCCTTCCAATGATTACTAAGCCAGAATCCATCTTCTCGGTTGAAAATTGTCTCTGTGCCTGTATATGTGGATAGCCTCATGAACGAATCTCTCATGGTAGCCAGATGGCTTACAAAGAACCTCTGTCTTGGAGAAGTCAATGTCATGTGAGCCTACTGAATTATAACAATGATCTGCCACGGCCGAGGTGTTGGTCCTACCGTGTTTAAGGTCTGCTTTGTGTTCACGAATGCGGTCCGAGACATGGCGTTTGGTTTCTCCAATGTAACTACTACCACAGAGGCAACTTAGTTTGTAGACACCAGGGTACTGTATGTCCGGAATCACAAATTATACAGTCGAGTTTCCCGCATTTGGGGAAATCGCAGGGGTCAACCCACCCGCAGTGCAATGGATGAGCCTCGTACCATACGTAGCCGACCATGCTAATTGGAGGTGCCTGGGAGTAAGAATATCAAACACTAAACACAAAACGCGGTTCTCAAGAAATTAGTTTTTTTTTAATCTTGATTTAAAAGCGCACAGCTCCCAGTGACTTCCTCACATCGGTGGGAAGAGCGTTCCAGACGGCCGCAGAAGCGCATCTGAAAGCGCCGCGCGATGCGGTGACCGCCGTCCGTGTTCGATGGCTGGTAGCAAAAAGCCGCTGTCACCGCGAGGATGCCCCGAGATGGCGTGATGATGGCTGATGCTTCTTGATGCGAGATCAGCGAGGAATCGTGGTTCTGTTTGTGGCAACCACTTTGCGTGTGATGAGCGCAACGAGGAATGCGATCATCGTCACAATGACCCCTCATCACTCGAAGAGCCCTGAATGCAATTCCCGTTGAACTTGACCGTTGAGGAAATTAAACAGAATCATTGGGTGATGCCGCTGCGTTTGGCAGCGGCGCACGCGCGCAGCAAACGACACACAGACTCAACACATTCCGTCAATAACACCGCCTTTAAAAAAAAAGGTGCTATGAAGAAGGGCCGTTGCCCGAAACGTCACCTATCATATATTTGTTTCTTTTCGGTCCAAAGTGTTATTGACGAACGTGTTCAGTTTTTTTGTTTTCATATATCTATCAGGAGGTCGGTAGCTATTGCCCGGTGTTGTGTTGGCATTGATCTTGATGGTCTCTTGGCCTTCGCCGGTTTAGTGACCCCACCCCCCTGACCCCCCCCCCCCCCCTCACCGTCCTGTCCATGGCTATTGTATCCCAGGATATCCACTCCTTGGTGGGGAAGAAGGCGGAGGGGGGGGGGGGGGGGCACCGGCAGATGTACGCATTCATTAATTGGCAAAGGGAAGCGGCATTGCGCGAGTCGGGGGCGGTCGCTGTGACAGCGAGGAGATCAATTGCAGTGGTCTGTACGGTCTGGAGAGCAGGCGGTGGCTATTTTTAGCATGGCACGTGTTGGCCGTGAGGGTGGCGTGTGATCCGATACGCTCGCGCGTTCTCTGTGTGCGTGCGTGTAAGGTGGGGGAGCGGTAGTGTAGCGGTTAGCGCGGTGCGATACGAACACGGTCGACCCGGGTTCGATTCCCCGTATCACGGCCAACGCCAGTGACGATTATCAGAACCGGTCCTGGGCCTCCCCTAGGTGGACTCATCCTCGAGTGAGTACCTGGTGCGATGTGTAAAAACATCGTCACCGGGGAGACGAAGGCGGTCGGGCGTCGTGCTGGCCACCCACCCCCTCGTGTACCGTTCCGGCCTTCATAGGTGCTCGCTAACAGTCCATTCCCCAACAGTCTGTTAAGGCTATAGAGGGATCTTCGTATTTTCCTTTGCGTGCTGTGAAATGCCAGCATGTATGCGTGTAAATATGATTTTTCTTAATATATAGTTTTTAATGTCATATATAGTCGTCCGTGCAAATCGCATCTCAAAAGCCCTGTCGAATTTTGCGAGAGGCATTTCCCCACGGGAAACCAGAAAGGAGCGAGGAAGAGCAGCCATATTTGATAACGAGCAACAATTTCCCAAGCTCTGTGCTCCTATAGTGGAGTGTTTTTCCAGCTCCCTCCAAAGACAAAGATCCCCCGTATAGCCTCAACAGACTGTGTAGGGCAACTGCTGTGAGCGAACACCTACCCTCCCTTCGCACACACACACACACACACTGCCCACGTGTCATCTCGGACTCGTGATTTGTGAAGACTTCGCAGATACCGAACCCTGTAAATTTCACCCCCCCACCACCACCACCACCACCTCGGGGGATAATTTACTGCGGGCCCCGAGGTGGCCGGTGCCATTCAAAGAGCACTTTGCCATCATTAAAATCTTCCTAAATCTACGTGCGCGCGGCGCCGCACACGCAAACACACATTCAATCACGCCGGTACGGAAGGATCGAAGATGGGGGCCGCACGCCCGAGCTGGCAATGGCTCAACGAAGAATGGGCTCGCGGCTGGTTTAGCTGGGGGCGCCACCTGCGTCAGTCGCGCGCACCATATCCACATGCGACGTGCCAGCGCATCGCGCGCAGGAGCTGTGCTGCTCGCCGTGCTCCGACATCCGTGGCGCGGTGTTCGTGGCGGCGAGCGGTGGCGATCGAACTCGGGTGGCCAGCGGCTTCTTCACAGCAGTGCGTTGTGAAGAGGGTCCCCGCTGAGCCCGACACGTCGCCTGCTTACATGCCACTGTGTGCTTGCAACGGTGGCCTCGTCGTGGAAGTGGCTCGTAGCGGCGCAGATGGTGAGTCACTGCGTTCCTAGGCATTGCTTCGAGAGGACACTATATATCGCCACGTCCGCAGACAAACGAATCCAAATGACCATAGCCATCTCGCTGTGCGCATTGGCTGCATGGGCAGCAGTAGCATACGATGTGCACTTAACATGCGATTACGTTTCAAGGTTTGACATTGATATAGTTTAGCCAGGTGAGAACGAACCTCAAGGGACCAGGTAGAGTCCCATTAGAAAGGAGTGACCGGGGGTAGTGGTGATGATGACGTCGATGCTGTGGTGATGAGTGATGATAGTGATGGGAGGCGTGTGAGTGCAGCTCATGTGCAGCAGTGAGAGGCAGATCATGGCATCGCAGGGTAGTGAGTTCCGAGATTCGAAGCGATTTTGTTGAACCACGAGTTGAGTATTCAAGGGACGAGGATTAGTCTCCATGACAAGGCTGACCTGGGTTACCAAGGCGACAAAAGCAATACAGCGTATATACAGGGAGCTTAAAAAAACATGTTAAAACTTCGGAGAATTTGAAACAATGTCACGAGCAATGTGCCTCCGGGCTTTGGAGAACACCTGGAGAAGATTCCAGGCACGTGTTGACAATGATGGCGAACAAGTCGAGACTCTTTGACTTTTTGAAGCTAATAACATACATTTGTTATTACGTTCAAGTGTATTATGCCCTGTTCTTTCCATTAAAAAAACGATAGTCCCATGTAAGTGTAAAAACAAATTTGAAGCACCCCTGTATATAGCTGGTTGCTGTTGGCTATGCACGTGTCCTACAATCCAGCACTGTGGGGGCAGCATCGACGGTTGGCGGATCACCACACAGATGCTGTTGCGAAACTCCCTTCCCGTGAGAAGGCGGTTCAGCAAAGTCTGGGCTAATCTCCATCTGTACCTTCCGTACGGGATAGAGCGTTGCCCCCTCGCAGGCGTGGGTTTCCTCCGGGTTTCCTGCAACACGTATGAACAATAAGCGATTGACTGACATCATCTCAATATATGGAGAGGACTGGGAAGCTTGGGCAATTGTTCGTAGGGCACCAGCTCCTCGCCTCCTGGCTGCTGCTGCCTTCCCGCTTGTCCGTAGTCCGCAGAGATTGTGAGAGATGGAACTTAAACGAAAGTATATATTTAATTTTACCAGGTAAGTCCCACTGAGCCATGTAGCTCTTTTTCAGAAGGGACATGGCCACAAATAATAGCTCAACGAAGTGGCTTGGCATACGGAAATGTACAGCAGCCAACGGCTCTAAACGAACGTTGCTAAATGTGGAAGGGATAAACCGGAGGACCCGGAGAGTAGTCCACGCCACCACGGGGAGAACATCCACACTCCAAATATACAGCAGCAGGCGTCAGGGTCGGGATCGAACCCATGACCTCTCACCTACAAGGCGAGGTAGTTAACATCTCTCTACCGTGGCTCCATTTTTGCATGAAGGACGACGCGATATATAAAACTACACGTGATCATTTTAATTCTTACTTAGATTATTGTCATATAGGACAAATTAAATCGCAGTAACACACGCCTCGCTTGAGCTTCACGGAATACATCTGGCGCTTGGATTTCCCATAAGCCCTGGGGAAGATGACAAGAAGAGGCATTTATTCATGACGGGGTTTTTTTTTTTGTGTGTGTGCAACGAAGACTGCATCAGGGAAGGGAGCTCTCGTGCCTCCGAGGGAGGCCTCACGCCTCACTCACTCATCGAGCCGCAGAGAAATGTCAGCGCGCTTCAGCGTGTGCGTGTGAGCGAGCGCGTGCGCGTGCGTGTGCGTGAGTGTTTTGTGTGTCGCGCGCGTGTGAGTGTTTTGTGTGTCGCGCGCGTGAGTGTGAGTACGCGTGGGGAGCGGTAGCGTAGCGCTGCACACACCCGCGTTCCATTCCCGCTCACGGCCAACACCAGTGACGAGCATCTGAACCGGTGCTGGGCCTCCCCCTATGTCGACTCAGCCTAAAAAACGATTACCTGGTGCAGTGTATAAACATCGCCACTTGGGAGACAAAGGCGGCCGGGGGTGGTGCTGACCACCTACCCCTTTCGTGTGCCGTGCCGGCCTTCATAGTTGCTACTCGCTAACAGCACTTGCTCCAACGGCCTCTTCAGGCTCTACGGGGGATCTTCGTCTTCGTTTGTGTGTGTGGGGAGCGGTAGACGCTGCTCCATGCAGCTCCCTTCTGCTCTCTCTCCGTCTCTCTTCGCTTCTTCTCCTCGCACTCGTGGGGTTAATCCACGTGCTCGTCATCATCATCATCATCACCCTCTCATCTCCTACCCGGAGCTCTTCCTCTCCCTCTCTCCCTGACGCTCATCTTGAGCCGTGCCAACCTCTTTGTCCATCTTGGGGACTTCCGTCCCTCGCCTCCCTTCCCTTTGCGTGTTATTTGCTCATTCATTGCACCCTTGACCCTGTTCCAGCTTCGCGTGGTGTAGCCACGGTTCAAAAGATGGCATTGCAATCATTTGATCTCGGCAGTTTTCTCTCCCGTCTTGCAGTTCGTATCCACCGATTCATGAATTGCCACGAGTAGAAGCGAAGTAGACGATCATTATGAGATGCAGCTGCACAATTAACGACACGTGTAGCAGCAGACAGGCGGCGCAACATTTTCACGGACAAATTTCAGATAACATGGGGGGTAGAGGATGGGGGGGGGGGGGTGAGCCAATTATTTTAATTTATTGACGCTTAATCAATTTAATCACGGGAATTAATTGACGTTCTCTCGCTGGGTTGGTGGCTTTGTTGTTGATGTTG